GCAGAAGGGGAGGCAACGGCAGAAGCAGAAGCAGAGGAGCCGGGCAGCGAAGCAGAACCAGGAGAAGAGGAAGAACCCCCACTCCAGATCCCGCAACTCACGGCGGAAGAAGAAGCAAAACATCACACCCGTTACAAGCGCACTTCCGGCATTCGCGCCGAAGATGATCTCTGGCACCAGCGGATGGGACACCCCTCGCGCCAGACCCTCGCCAACTGCCTCCGCGCCAAAGTCTTTCCGCCAGGAGCACTGCTGCGCCCCGACGGAACGGAGTTACAGCACACCACCCCCCATCCAACCACTTGCACTGTCTGTCCCACAGCTGCGCTCTCTCACAGCGCCTATCCCTCCCTGGAGCCGAGTACCAACCGCTACAAAAAGCTGGAGAAAGTTTACAGCGATTTTATCGTACTCACCCACGACGGCATCAACGGCGAGAAGTATACTCTCACCTTCATCGATGCCTACTCGCGCCACGTGTGGATCGCCAACGTCGACGCTCGTTCCAAGGCTCCGGAAGTGTTCCGCATCTTCCTCGCGCACGCGCAGCGCCAGTCAGGGAGGAAACTGAAGATCTGGCAGAGTGATGGGGCAAAGGAATTTCGCAGCAATGAGCTGGAGAGTGTCCTCACCGAGAAGGGGATTAAACACGAGATTTCTCTCCCCTATGCTCACCAGCAGCAAGGCGTCGCCGAGAGGGTCAATCGCACGCTCATGACCAAAGTCCGCGCAATCATGAACCAGCCCGGCCTGCCAAAGAAGTTCTGGCCTTACGCCATGAACCACGCGGTATGCCTGCACAACCTCCTCTCCACCACCGCCAACAGGGATAACCTGTCCCCTCACATGAAGTGGACCGGCTCAAGGGGAGACCCCTCCATGCTGAGGGTTTGGGGGTGCATGGTGCAATACCGGCCAACCTCGGCCACAATCGGCAAGTTCGTTCATCGCGCGCGTTGGGGTATTCACTTGGGCCTCAGCAATGAGCACAAGGGTTGGCTCATCCTCGACATGGACAGCAAGGAGGTTGTTCCCGCACGTGACATCCTCTTCTACGAGCGACTCACCCTGAAGCAGTGGATCGAGGACGAGCGCCGAAACGAAGCACGCGGCTACGTCAACCACGGTCGCAGCTTCGCAACTCCAGAAGATGCAGCAGCAGCAGCAGCACTGGACCGCGACGACACCGACGAACATCCCAGCATCCCACGCACCGTAGCACCCGGCTATGAGAGCGGAGACGACGACGTGGTGGAAGTCCCCACCAACACAGACACCACCACTGTGTCAGGCCTTCAACTCCTCGGCCTACACAAATCCGTCTCTACCCTCGCACGGGCCGTGGAGCCAAAGACCCCTCGGCAGGCCCTAACCGGCCCTCATGCCAAGGAGTGGCGTGCTGCGATGGATGCGGAGCTCAAGGCGCTGGAATCACGTGACACCTGGGTCCTAGTCGATCGTGCAGCAGTGAAGGGGAGGAGGGTGCTCAGCGAGAAGTGGGTCTTTCGCCTGAAAACTAACGCTAATGGCACTATCGAGCGTTTCAAGGCACGCTGGGTCGTACGCGGGTACGATCAGCGCCACGGCATCGACTTCGATCAAACCTTCGCTCCCGTCAGTCGCCGCACCTCAGTCCGGATTCTACTCGCTATTGCAGCCGTGAAGCACCTGCCACTGCGACAGATCGACGTGAAGGACGCGTTTTTGTACGCGCTGGTGGATGCCACCATCTTTGTGGAGCAGCCGCACACCTACGGAGAGGGTGATCCCAGGGTCTGTCAACTGAAGAAGTCCCTCTACGGGATCAAGCAGGCGCCTCGCCTCTGGCAGCAGCATCTGCACAAAATCCTCCTCGAAATCGGCTTCAAACAGCTCCCGCACGACCCGGGAATGTATCGCCTTCACTTCAGCGGCGATTACATCCTCCTGACAGTCTACGTCGACGACCTGCTGTACACGGGCACCTGCAACAAACTCCTCGATCAGTTTCAGGAGAACCTGGCGCAGCGCGTGGACATTACCATCAACCTCGAAGTGAAGCAGTTTTTGGGGTTAAACATCACTTACGCACCAGAAGCAATTCATCTGTCAGCCTCCAAGTACGCGGAACAGCTAGGGGAACGCTTCAACATCTCCCAGGCACCGCTTTCAACTCCCTACCGCAACCCCAGCGCCAACTACAAACCGGACAACAAACCTCTGTCGACCCTGCAAATCGACGGTCCCGAACCGGCTTCGTTTTTCGCTTGGAACCAACTGGGCCAATCTCCTGGAACTCGCAAAAGCAGGAGCTGGTTGCCCTGTCATCGGCTGAAGCAGAATACATCGCCGCGACAACAGCAGTTCGCGAAGGCCTGTACCTGCAGGAACTGCTACAGGAGGCGAAAATTCCAACTTCGCCCACCTTTCGCCTTCACTGCGACAACCAGAGTGCCATCGGGATCGCGAACAAGCCAGGTTTCGTGAACCGCACGAAGCACATCGCGCTTCGGTACTTTTTCGTCAAGGACGAAATCGACCAAGGCAAAGTTGACCTCGCCTACTGCCCGGCCACTGAGATGGCAGCAAACTTCCTCACCAAGCGCCTGCCACGTCAGCAGTACAAACACTGCTCTGACCTCACCGGGGTAGTCAAGCGAGTCAGCTCCACCCGCGTCCAGGAATGAAGGGGAGTGTTACGATATGAAGTTTTATGAGAAGGCATTCCTGTATGCTGCAGGAGCCGACTCTACCGAGTACGAAGTCGAGGAGTCAGAAGAGTCGAAGCGACGCAGCAACCGCCTGGCCAAGATCGATGCTGGCAGAAACATCTGAAGTGAAAAGAGCGGGAACAGGTTTGAAACGGGTTCCCGCGCCGCACGGTTTGAATTCGGTTGTAATAAGGGAATGTACCCCTGAGAATACATGGCTAGTCTAGGTCTTTTCGTATTCCCTGTATTCTTATATAAACTCGATGTATGCATGCTATTATCAACTCAGTCATTTACATTCACTCTGACCTGAGATTCAAACTTCCGCTGCAACACTACTCTGCGATCAACCCTGAGCGATCCTTTGCTAAGTCCCACTTGGGATTGTAACACTAGTCAATCATTCCTTTGTTCCTATTCTGACAAATACTTCAAAGCAAAGCAGCAATGTTGTACTAGTGCCGCAATTGCTCATATAGAGCATGCGGCAGCTCGAGAGTCGCCCGAAGGTCAATAGTCGTTGTTAGTCAACGGTCACGACTGTTGACCGACCGGCAACCGCATCAGAGGTTACGCAATGCAACATGGTAACTATCAAGAATGGCAATAGTCGCAGTTACTGTAGCTATGCAATGCAGTTAATAAGGGAATGTACCCCACAGAGTACATGGATAGCTAGTTTGCTATTTATATATATATAAAAAATAGATGTTGAAACAGCACCCCATGTCGCACAGGCCTATCCTTGCACCTGCTCGTTCGTTCAAACTAGCATATCTTCCTACCAAGTGCTGCGAATGGTACCAAATCTTGATGGCATGCTTAGACTATTGCTCTACTCGACAGTTACCATGTTGCGGTTACTGGGCGGTCAACAGGCGCGACCTTTGACTTCCAGCGACTGTTGAACTTTGGGTCACTCTCTGTCTGCCGCGTGCTCTATATGAGCTATTGCGGTACTAGTACAGTAGCGCTGCTTCGTTATGAAGTCGCATGCTAAGAGAGAACCTTCGGGAATGTTATCATAACTTTTCGGTTATTCCAGCACATGTTCTCTCGAATACCCCCTGAAGCGTAGTTATGCGTTGAGGACTTACAATGATGCAGAGGATTGATTAGGATGGTGCTCGAGGTAGTGGGTTGAATATTCTGAGCATGATACAAAATGTGGAAGTTATTTTGTCCTTGCAACTAGATATGGCACATTTCCGATAAGAGCCGCCAACGGAACACGTGCACGAGCACCATAACGGGTTTGACGACCAAGTCCTCAGTGCCTAGTTGATGGCAAACTCCGCACCACATCCATTGCCACCACTATTTCCAACTCTGTGACTGGTTCTCGAGTTTGTGGTGAGAGGGGAACTTCTGCCAAGACACTTTCAAGCTCCCTGCAATCCAGCCTCTCCTCCCTCCACAATGACGTGGGACCAGATGTATGCTGATTGCGCATTCGTCAGTTGCCTGTCACACTTTACAGTCACTCGCTCAACGAAAATCGAATCCAATCAAACGGCAAGGACAGCTCGTTCGCACATTGGGCAGTGTCACCCCACCCCACCCCAACGTCCTTCCAGCCAATCAATCACCGCCTTCCCTGTTTGGTTTGATCCACTCTCTGTGGGTTCGATGTGATGACATGACATCGGTTCCATCCTACTAGAAAGTGGTTAAAACGTTTTTCAGTGCGGTGGAAGTGGTTGTACGTTAGGTCGGGTCATGGTCCACCACTCACCATTGCTGCTTTCCATCCAAGCCATGCCATACGGAACGGGAGATTTGGCAAACATCACTGAAGCTCATAACTGCTTCTAAATCACTCCCGCCAACATACGTATTCCCTACCTTCTCAAAGCTTAGACGCACACAAAACTCAAATTCGCACTTCGTCCCAAACCTTGATGTAGTAGTGCGCAGTACAGACGGAAATTGGCCCTAAAGCTAGTCGATTCTTTAGGCTAACGTTGGCTTCACGCATCTCGTGTTCCTTCTTGAAACGAAAAGTTGATTAGGCGCAGGTGGTAGTGTCACTTAAAAGAGGAGAACGCCATGGCTGTTGGGGTGGAGAAAGACACGTCGCGACTGCCCAAAAGAATAATTATCGACACGGATCCGGGAATAGGTACGGCAAGAGAACGGGGAGTAGCTGACGAGAAAGGCTACGTGGAAATAGTGGGAAGGATGAAGAGTGGCGCCGTGATAAGAATTGCCACGCAATTAGTCTTATAGAGGCTACGTGGACACGCACGTATCTTGGATATCTTCTCTCCGCTGTGTGTCCGTACCTTGAAGCAACAAAATCTCCGCAACATGCTTCCCCTCACCGGAGCGCGACGAGGTGGGGGGCATTCCCCGTGCCGTCCTACCGACGACACCCTTTCACCCACCTCCCCTCCCTACCGCTTGCCAATTCGCCCTGCCCAGTCGACACCCTGGCGACACCCAGGCGACACCCAGGTGACACCCTGGCGACACCCAGGCGACACCCTGGCGACACTGCTCGCCGTCGTATCTCCACCGGAGCTGGCCGTCATGCGAGGCGTCGCCACAGTCTCGGCCACCCACTGTCCGCCGACTATCACTATCTCTTCCCCCCCTCCTCTTTCTTCCTCTCCTCCCCGGCCAGCCCTCTCCTCTCTGCAGCAAACGACTCCATGCCCATTCTGTTTTTGAGCCAACAGAACAATCGGCTCACTACACGCGGTAATTCTGTTGTTCTTTGCCTTTCTTCGTTATTCTTACAACTTGTTTGTATTTTTGTTTTTGTTTTAATCTCTGGGCAGACGACACGATGGCGATTCTACTGGCGTTTCTGTCGCCCGAGCAGCTGCACGTGGTGGGCATCACCACCGTCTTCGGCAACGTGCGCACTCCCACCGCCACCGCCAACGCGCTCCGCCTCGTGAGTTTCTCGACCTCTCCCACACTGCATGCCCATGTTTCTCCCTCCCACTCCCCCTCCCGCTCCCCCTCCCCCTCCTCTTCGCCTTTCCCACGTGCCACGTCTGTCCCATTTGTCCCATCTGTAACCTCGCCTTTGTCATAAAATATCTTGCACCCCAAGTCATCAAGCTGTGACTGACTCATCAAATTCACCTTCAAATCCTCAACCAAGAGCACATTCTCCAGTTTCACCTCTCCATACGGACTTTGCAGCACCACGTCACCCTCTCCTGTCACTGGTAACTTCCCACTGTTACCTTGCAGTATATAACGCTCACTCGACTCCCTCACGTTCTCCATCCAATCTGACCTGAATGTCATGTGACGCGTGCATTCGCTGTCCATGAACCATGCCGTCTTCTCACGTCCGTCCGTCTGACGAACATCCTTCGGTAAACGCACCACGTTCGCACGATGCGCTCCTCCCAAAATCACATCCTCCTTTTCGGCTTCCGCTACATTCGCCTTACCCGCCACAATCCTCTGCTGCGACGGACCCTTGTAGCTCCTGCTGTTCGGATTGGAGTAGCACTCTGCGGCACGATGCCCATAGCGCCCACAATAATCGCACTTGCCGCCAAAACCTCGTTTCTGTTGCCACTCTGCTCCCCCATTTTCTCCTTTCTCGTTCTCCACCGCTTTGCCCTTGTAGTTTCTGCTTCGCGGATTTTCGTAGCAGTTTATCGCCTTATGCCCCCTCTTTCCACACTGGTAGCACGCTCCAAACGCCTTCGTTGCATTCACCAAAGCCGGCCTCTCCTCGTCGAAATCCGTAGCTGCTGCTACCGCTTTCTTTTTCCTCATCTCCTTCACCGTCTCAAGCGATTGCAGAATCTCTTGCAGCTTCGTCAAACTCTCCGGCGGTTGGTACGTAAACATACCGATGTCGGATTCCCACTCCTTAGGAAGGCCTTGGATGATATAGTCAATCATCTCGTGCTCCGTCTCCGCGGCTCCCATCACCCGCAAGTCGTCGTTGTAGTTTTTCGCCCTGTTGATGTAGGTGATGATTTTCTCGCCTTTCTCCATGCTCAGCATCAGCAGTTGCTTCCTAATCGCCTTCTTGTTGACATCGTTCGTGCCCATGTACGTGGACTCCAGGTACTCCCACGCTTTCTGTGCAGAGTTCAGCTCCCCTGCAAACTGGTCCAAATCCACCGCGATTCCATCGGCAACTGAGTGACAAAGCTGAAAGAACGCTTGCTTACTTTGTTTTTTGAACGCCGCTATTTTCTCCTTCGTATCCGTCGTGGAAGGCGCAACTCCCTCCATCGTCTCCTCGTCGGGACGGTAGTACGGCAAGAGGTCCACCTCCTCTGCCCTTCGAATGAACTTCTTTCGCCACACGTTGTAGTTGCTTCCATTGAAGCGCTGAGTTTCACTGAGCCCGATCGTCGGTTTCGCCACCAATCGGCCACTCGCAAGGGCCTCGAGAAGAGCCTTCAACTGCGGGTCTCCAAGACTCACACTGGAACCCGAACTCGCCTCGTCTCCCATGGCGTAGGCGTGAACGACTCCTCTTCTCCACTAATTTCACTTAGCGCACCAAGTGAATTTACGACAACCGACGCGACCGTTCGCCAAGCTCTGATACCAGTTCTTAGGATCGTAAACACCTTAGTCGGCAATAGTCTACTTGCTATTGCTTATCGTGTTCTCCACGATCTCACGAATCCAATGATATGCGCAGCTCTGCTTGAAGTTGTCAATACACACTTCAGCAATTTTCAGAATCTCCAAGTTGTCCAATGTTGTGTTTTCCAGAATGAGTACAAGCAGTTTTATAGTCAGGCAAGACACAAAATGCGATTCGTAACTTCACTTGTTTCCCAAGTAACCGCGTGCGCCTCGTTTCACCCCGAGTCGCACACGGAACTGAACCGAATGCACCGAACACTTCTTGAGTCCGAATCTCGAACCTTCTCGAACGCGCCTCAAGCTCGAACCACAATTTCCCCCGTCGATCTCATTCTCGATGCTTCTCCTTCTCTATTCCTCCTTCCTGCACATTCCTTCTCGATTTCCTTCCCGCTTCTCACGCCGTAGCTTCTATTCTCCACCGTAGGTCGATTTCCACCGTCTTAGATCTAAAATCTCCCACGCGCTCCATTTCGCCGTCATTCCGCATTTCGCCGTAGGTTCCGTGGTTGGGCGAACCAACCCTAACACCACTCCCCCTCCCGCTCCCCCTCCCCCTCCTCTTCGCCTTTCCCACGTGCCACGTCTGTCCCATTTGCTGACTGCATCCGCCTACGTCCCATTCAATGCGTTATCGTGATTTTGTGCTAATCACACGTGCTCTTGTTTTATCCACACGTGCTCTCATTCTATCCCCACGTGCTCTCATTCTATCCCCACACGCTCTTCTATCCACACGCGCTCTCATTCTATGCACACGTGCTCTCATTCTATGCACACGTGCTCTCATTCTATGCACACGTGCTCTCATTCTATGCACACGCGCTCCTCATGCTATGCACACGCGCTCTCATGCTATGCACACGCGCTCCCATTCTATGCACACGTGCTCTCATTCTATGCACACGCGCTCTCATTCTATGCACACGTGCTCTCATTCTATGCACACACGCTCTCATTCTATGCACACGTGCTCTCATTCTATCCCCGCGTGCTACCATGCTATCCCCACGCCCTCTCAATATGTGCTTCTATGCCAAGCGCTCCCCATCCGCCATCCTCTCTGCCAGATTACTTCACAAACTCCCACTCTCTTTAATTCCTGCCTGCACGTGCGCGCTTGTGCGTATGGGTGCGTGTGTGTGTGTGTGTGTGCGTGTGTGTGTGTGCGCGCGCTCGTGTGTGTGTGTGTGTATGTATGTGTGCGTGTGTGTGTGTGTGTGTGTGTTTGTGCGTATGCGTGTGTGTGTGTGTGTGTGTGTGTGTGTGTGTGTGTGTGCGTCTGTCTGTTTGTGCGTGTGCGTGTGTGCATGTGTGCGTTTGGGTTTGTGTGTGGGGGGAGGTGGGTGGGTGGGTGGGTGGGTGGGTGAGTGGGTGCGAGGGTGGGTTCGCGGGTGGGTGCGTGAGTGCGTGTGTGAGAGCAGTGCGAGCTGGCAGGGAGGGAGGACGTGCCAGTGGCGCATGGAGAAGAGGTCACTCTGAGGGTGGGTGATTACAGGGGCACGTGACAGGTGGCACGTGACAGGTGGCACGTGACAGGTGGCACGTGACAGGTGGCATGTGACAGGTGGCACGTGACAGGTGGCACGTGACAGGTGGCACGTGACTGGTGGCACGTGAGGGGTGGCACGTGACAGGTGACTGGGGGTAGGTGACTGCGAGTTTGTGCACAGATTGCACAGTCCACGTGTCTTGGGCCTTGCAACCTCGTTACCCACCTCTCCCCATTCCCGTCTATCCGTTTCTTACGTCCCATCACCTCCTCTTCTTGCCTTCTTTTACACTCACAATGCTTGTTTCCCTTCTCAACCCCCCCTTCCAACCCCTAATAACCCCCCCAACCCTTCAACGGTCTACCATTAATCCACCCCATCCTTCTCTCCCACCTTCCATACAAGAACCATCCATGCAATTTCTGTTTGTGCCCTTACGCCCCATTACCCCGGCTTCTTCCTTTCTTTCATCCTCACACAGTCCCCTGCCCTTCTTACCCCGTCCCTCCACCCCTAACACTTGCCTAAGACCTTTGTAGCGACTCTACACAACTGAACGAGCAGAGAACTCCCTAACACGATTCTTGTGTGTGCCCTTGTACCTGCCGTCCCCTCAAATTCATGGGTGCATGGCATGGGTGTGCGGCATGGGTGTGCGGCATGGGTGTGCGGCATGGGTGTGCGGCATGGGTCCGTGGCATGGGTGCATGCCATGGGTGGGTGGCGTCTTCTGTCTGGCATGCACTGACTGGCTGGCAGGGCGTGGAGAAGATCCGAGTGGCGGATTTTGTGCATGGCAGTGACGGCATGGGCAACACCAATCAGCAGCCGCCACGTGGCAAGCCCATAGACAAGGGAGCAGCGCAGTTCCTAGTGGACACGGTCCGCGCGGCACCCGGGCAGATCACAGTGGTGGCTCTGGGGCCACTCACCAACCTCGCCAAGGTGAGTGGGTGAGGTTTGGGCCACCTGAGAAGTTGCCCCTCAGAAGTCGTTTGAGCAGATCACAGTGGTGGCTCTGGGCCACTCACCAATGTAGCAAAGGTGCGTGGGGTTTGAGCCGCCTGAAAGTTGCTCCTCAAAATTGCGTCTCAAATGGTCGCCCGGGCAGGTCACAGTGGTGGCACTGGGCCTGCTCAAAGGTGAGAGGGTGAGAGGGTGGGGTTTGAGGAGCCTGAGAAGTCACTTGAGTCGCCCGTTGAGTCCCTCAAAAGTCGCGCGCGCAGGACACAGTGGTGACTCTGGGACCCCTCACCAATTTAGCCAAGGCGACTAGGTTTCTAGGCACCGCAAAACTGCAGTTTCAAAAGTGCGTCTCAAATGGTGGCCCGGGCAGGTCACAGTGGTGGTTCTGGGCCCGCTGACCAATTTAGCAAGGGTGAGTGATGTTAGGGCCGCCTCAATCTACACCTGAAAGTGCACCTCAAACATGGACACCACAGGCGAATGGCATGAACAGCACAGGCGAGTGACCCCTCATCCTCTTGCAGCCTACCAGCAATGTCGTTCTGGGTGGCGCCTTCAGCCCAGCCCCTGTCCCTCATCATCTCCCTCCGTGCTGTCCCTCATCATCTCCCTCCGTGCTGTCCCTCATCATCTCCCTCCGTGCTGTCCCTCATCATCTCCCTCCGTGCTGTCCCTCATCATCTCCCTCCGTGCTGTCCCTCATCATCTCCCTCCGTGCTGTGCACCTGGAACCCTCCTTCCCCCAACCGTGACGGATACCATTATTCTGGGCGGCGCATTCAGCCCAGCCCCCATCACTCATCATATATCCCTCTGCAGCGGCATCTCTCCTTCCCGCAGCACGTGACAGAGATTCCCCTTCAGTGCAGCGCATTCGGCCCAGCCCCCATCGCCCCACCACCATCTCCTGTGCCTTCTTGCCCTTCCTCTCCCCTCACTCCCCCAGGCGCTACAGCTGGGCCTGTCTGGCCAGTGCATTCGACCCAGCCCCCGTCACTCATCATCTCCCGCTGTCTCTGCTGTGCAATTGCCCTTCCTCGCCCCCCCCCCCCCCCCCCCCCAGGCTCTGCAGCTGGATCCCTCCTTCCCCCAGCACGTGGCGGAGATCATCATTCTGGGCGGCGCATTGAGCCCGGCCCCATTGACCTCACCACCATCTCCTGTGCCTGCTTTCCCTTCCTCACTCAGCCCAGCCCCCCTACCCACTCCCCTTTTCCCCCCCTTTCTCCCCCCTTCCCCTCCTCAGGCGCTGCAGCTGGACCCGTCCTTCCCCCAGCACGTGGCGGAGATCATCGTTCTGGGCGGCGCCTTCTTCACCAACGGGAACGTCAACCCGGCGGCCGAGGCCAATGTGAGTGTTTGAGGCTTGAGTCGACTTGAAACTCAATGTGAGCGGCCAAAGCCAATGTGAATGGTGGGGCCAATGTGAGTGGCAAGAAAAAAGAAACCTCCCACCCAACCCCTTCCTTGTACGCTATTCCACTGTGCCTCTGCTGCTCTCTTCCACTGTGCCTCTGCTGCTCTCTTCCACTGTGCCTCTGCTGCTCTCTTCCACTGTGCCTCTGCTGCTCTCTTCCACTGTGCCTCTGCTGCTCTCTTCCACTGTGCCTCTGCTGCTCTCTTCCACTCACGTCGTTCCCAATTCTTGTCACTGACTGCAATAGGATTGATGGGTGCAAAGTGAGGTGGTGGGAGGTGGGTAGGCCTGACGGGCAGTGGGGAGATGGCACGTCAGCAGGGAGGGTGTACGTGGGTTGGCTTGGGGTGGGTGTGAAGGTTCTCGCTCACTGCTGCCATCCTCGCACCCTTCCTCTTTTGCAGACTTCTCACGGCCATGCGAATGCTCTTCGTGCACTCCCATGATCCGTCCAAATGATCCATCCCCATGCCATGCCCCATCGACTGTATCCCCCGTGGCAGATATTTGGAGACCCCGATGCAGCAGATGCGGTGTTCACGTGTGGGGCCAAGTGCACAGTCATAGGCATCAACATCACGCACCAAGTCACCCTCTCAGGTGACTGCAGCACACCAGGTCACTCCTCAGGTGGTTCCAACATATACTAGGTTCTTCCTCAGGTGGTTGCAACACAGTCTGTGAATTCATGCTGTTGCCTCGTACACAAAGTATGGCTTACCATGAATCTCAACCGTTACAATGCGTTACAGCCATTGGGTTACCACGTCCTGTACCATCACATGTGTTTTGTGTGTGGTGGGCGTGTGCTGTGCATGCAGTGAGGGACATGGAGGACATAAGAGACAGCAAGGGGCCGTTTGGGCGCTTCCTGTACGACACGTCGCAGTTCTACTACCGCTACCACAAGGAATCGTACGGCATGGATGGTACGTGGCGGGATGGTGTGTGGCGGGATGGTGTGTGGCGGGATGGGGTGCGCTGGGGATGGTGTGTGCTGGGGATGGTGTGTGCTGGGGATGGTGTGTGCTGGGGATGGTGTGTGCTGGGGATGGTGTGTGCTGGGGATGGTGTGTGCTGGGGATGGTGTGTGCTGGGGATGGTGTGTGCTGGGGATGGTGTGTGCTGGGGATGGTGTGTGCTGGGGATGGTGTGTGCTGGGGATGGTGTGTGCTGGGGATGGTGTGTGCTGGGGATGGTGTGTGCTGGGGATGGTGTGTGCTGGGGATGGTGTGTGCTGGGGATGGTGTGTGCTGGGGATGGTTCCTTAACGCTAGCTTACACTGTTAAGCCTCCCTTTCCCCAACCCTCCTCCCACTTCATAACCCCCCACAGCCGTGCACCTGCATAAACACCCTCCCCACTCAACCCCCCCCCACCCCTTTCCACCTCGTTGTTGTGGCAGCCGTAGGATACTCAGCTGTCCACACTGCCAATTCCAGCCCATCGTGTTCCCCCCCTTCTCAATGCTTCTCAACTCAAAACTCGCACGAATTGCCTAATTTCCCCTCACCGCTGCTCCACCCTCCATGCACATCAGTCAATAGCAGAACCCATTGCCACCCTCCTCTGACTTGCGTAATTGATTCCCCTGTCACGCCCTCTGGCCTCTCACCACTCCTCTCCCCCCAATGTGCTCTGTGCGGCAGTGCACCTGCATAACCCCTCATCCCTCATCCCCTCATCCCTGATTCCCCGCCTGTGCCCCATGCGGCAGCAATGCACCTGCACGACCCCACCACCATGGTGGCCACGATGGATGACCCAGCAACGCCTGCACTGCGAATGCCCACATCACAACCTCCACCTCCCCCTCCCTTTCCCCCCCGTGTGACACCGTGCAGCCGTAGTGCACGACCCCACCACCATGGTGTTGCATCAGGAATTCCCCTGTCCTCCCTCCCTCTTTCTTCTCTTTCCCCCCCGTGTGACACCGTGCAGCGGCGTAGTGCACGACCTCACCACCATGGTGTTGCATCAGGAATTCCCCTGTCCTCCCTTCCTCTTTCTTCTCTTTCCCCCCCGTGTGACACCGTGCAGCGGCGTAGTGCACGACCCCACCACCATGGTGTTGCATCAGGAATTCCCCTGTCCTCCCTCCCTCTTTCTTCTCTTTCCCCCCCGTGTGACACCGTGCAGCCGTGTACTGCACTGCACAACCCCACCACCATGGTGTTGCATCAGTAATTCCCCTGTCTTCCCTCCCGCTGTCTTCTCACCCACTCCTTTCTTTCTTCTCTTTTACCCCCCATGTGCCCCGTGCTGCAGCGGTGTACCTGCACGACCCCACCACCATGGTGGCTGCCATGGATGATTCTCTCTTCACCTTCCACGAGGGCGTGGTGCGCGTACAGCTCGATGGCATCGCTAAGGGACTCACTTTGCTAAACAACACCAACAAAGTGTGAGTGCCTTCCCAAGGGTGGATGTGATGTGATGAAATACGCTGCTGTGATGTCTGTGGTTGGAAAAGAAATACGTAGCAGCAAGAGAGTGCGACTGCTAAGGGCAAAGAATCAGTGGGAAACAGGCGAGGCAAAGAGAAGGCAAAAAATTGAATGAAGGAAAAACACGGGGTGCTCCGAGAATCGAACTCGGGACCTCTCGCACCCGAAGCGAGAATCATACCACTAGACCAAGCACCCACGCATTTAGTGATTGTCGTTAGTCCCTTATCCTCTTTCTCCCCACACCATGGTGTGCCCGACTGCCATTAACCTGCACAATGCCAGAGTGCTTGATCTCACATCATCATCCTCCATCTCCCCCCTTCCCTCCCACCCAGATGGAACACCCCTACAGCGTGGTGTGGTATACCACCAGTGCGGGTGGCGGTCACAGTGGACGCTGATGCTGTCTCTGCCCTCGTCAAGCAACGCCTTTCTGCCCCCGGCCCTTCCGCACCGCATTTGAACCCGGCCTGTTAACCTGCTGCACGGGTGCGAGGGCTGGCGGCAGTGCCAGGGCATACCTGTGGTGTCCATGCCCCTCGTCCAGCACTGCCTCTCCTCCGCCCCTCCTCCCCACAAGCAGCGCCTCCCAGTGCTGTGTCCTTAAGAGCAACGCCTCAGCCTTGTGCTTCTGCCACCACCACCCACTCCTCACTCCCCTCACCCTCCTCACCCCTCTCATCCTCCTCACATTCCTCACCCTGCTCACTCACATCGTCTCTCTCCTTCCTGGCATCTCACAACTCACCACCGCCTCTGCTCATGCACTGCTGCCTCACCCATGCTGTCAGGCAGCAGATCAGATTGCCCCTCCTCTGCACCCCCCGCCCAGCGTGTCCCATAACTCAGCACCGCCCCTCACCCTGTGACCCCGTCCGATCCATGGTGGCATCAAACGGAGTGATGAGACCCAGGCCAGGCCACCCCCTGCACACTGTACTGTACCTCATCTGGTGGGGTGTAAGTTATCCATGCGATGTGAGCCTGTGCTGTTGGCATGGATTGTATCAGGTCACCTTGCCCCATGCAGTGCTCAATCCTCTATCCTGTACATTTAGTAGGCGCCTCAGACACCCACGGCATGAGCTATGCAGTGCCACTCCTCCGCTGCCCTGTACATTCTTGCTTGCTGTGGCACTTGCTGCTAAGAGCGGCATCGTGGATATCAGTTTTCCACACCGTTCCTCCATTGATGGGCTGCTGGGATACAAATGTGCATGTTCAGCAATATATTACATCAACGGAGGGGACTGGAAATCCTTAGAGGCTTTTCTGCTGGTAACCTAATAAGGAGCACCTATCCCTGAGGCAGCAAACATGTCAATAACACACGGATGCCGTCCAGAGTCCAGCAGAGTCCAGCAGAGTCCAGCGGACAGCACAGCCAGCCACGGCTCAGCTGCTAAACAGAACAATGGCCAAGTCCCTAGGCAGCCATTTGGGGAGGGAACCAGCCGGCTGGTAGGCTGCACGGTTACTAAACGGCTAGACAGCTAGACAGCTAGAGGGCTAGATGGCCATGGCTAGATGGCCATGGCATCGCCGAAGTTGCGCATGAGAAAGATGGCCCCTCCGAAAGCCGCCACGGCCTTCAGCAGCCGCTGCACACATGGCATGGCAGGGCGTGACAGGGGGGATGGTAGGGGGGATGGCACGGGATGGCAGGGGATGAGGTGATGGCCAGGGGTGAAAGGAAGGGGGTGACAGGGGATGAGCGAGGGATGGAAAGGGTGATAGCAGGGGGGGTACACGGGGGTTCAACGCACACAGTAAGAGACGCGGTCAGGTAACGGAAAGACGAGAGAGAGACTGCATGCGGCAGTGGATCTTGTAACCAGATGCGGGTCAGGAAGCCTGCGGGTGGAGTATTGAGTATGGCGGAGACTGTGCAAGCAGGTTGACTACGGCGTTTGTAACGACGCGACGAGAGCAGCCGAGCAGCACCAAAGCGGCACGCGATCCCTAAGCAGCTTGATCGTGATGTAGGGATCGCTAAGCAGGGAACGATCAAGCAGCAATTGACGGAATGCGATCTCGTTTCCCGTGAATGGAGGCAGGGAGGCGGGCATAAAAAGCGGCGAGGTGCGAGGCGGAACGGGAGCAATCGAGCTGTTGCTAGGCTGGGAGCGATCGTACTGGATCGACCGCTCGCACGAACGCGTCGAAGCATCTAGCTCGCGAGGGGTGTTGGACGCGGCACGACACGCACCAGATTGGCCGCGAGCCGCTCTTCGTCGTTGACCTGCGCTGCCAACCACGCCTTCGCTGATGTGACGTAACCCTTGGCCATGGCGAGATGTCGTAGCTAGGGCCGAGGTGATAAGAGGAGGCGAAGGTCAAAAGGGACTGGAAATGGCCTCGCGTAGGGTTGCAGCGACAAAATGGCGAACAAGACTCGACAGAAGGGTTGCGTAGAGTGTTAGAAAATTTCCCATAACGTCTCTTGCGTCTGCTGTGTATGAAAGTATTTTAGTTAGTAACTCACCTATGGAAAAATTAGCATAACAATAGTGAAATGAAATATTTTGATACATAATAAATGGACTTTTTTTAACCAGCATACGTCAATGCCGCGCCAGAAATAAAAATCATAGCATAATATGAGCAAAGAATTTCATTCCAATTAACAACCGTCATCGCCCGGATATAAGACATATATGTCTTATCTCGTACACGGGCTAAAATGCTTGGGTTGTCTTGTATTTGGGACGGTTTAGGGTGTCTTATAAATCTTATAAATGGACAAAGAACCGTTTAGAAGATACCCCCTCGTTATACAATTGCCCCTAACCCCTACACACCCAAATAGTGTTAAAATAAGCAGGAATGAATGATTGAACTAGGCAAGAGGTGAGTACAAGTAGAGGAAACCTAACCCTAAAGTGTTGTACTCACTAAGGAGTGACCCTACTGTAGCCTAGAGATACAATTGTAATCTGACACACCCCCATAGGCAAAGTAGGGGACAGCAAACACAACAAGCGGTCACAAGACCAGTCTGCAGAAGAGAACACAGCTCAAGGTGGATCACAAAGTCACCACGCATTCTGAGCACAAGCAAGTGGCCACAAGGCCAGTTCACACGCAGAGGTATATAATAGCAAGGCAGTACACTGATCACAACCTAGCAAGAGAAAACAAGCAGGTATAAAGATATGTAGCAGTGTACAACAAGAGCAAGTCAAGCAACCAACAGGTGAGGCAGAGTGGGCACAAGCCCAAGAGCAGTGCAGAAACGGTGATGATCACCAGACCCAAGGGCCTTGGTGAAGACATCAGCAGTGTTGGCCCGAGAGGCCACGTAAGCAAGGCGCAGCTGACCACGCTGATGCAGCTCACGCGCAGGGAAGTAGCGAAGAGCAATGTGCTTCGTTCTGTGCTCCAGTCTCTGCTCGCGACACGAGGCAAGCATTGCCTTGTTGTCGACGTACAGAACTGGAGGAGAACGAGGCCGCTCCCCCAAGTCGGTCAGCAGGTAGGTCAGCCAGCGTAGCTCCTGTGCAGCCATGGCCCCAGCGTAGATCTCGGCCTCATAGCTGGAACCAAGCACAGAAGAAGAACGAGTGGACCTCCACGAGACAGAACTAGAGCCAAGACTGAAGGTGTAACCCTGTGACGAACGCTGAGTCGCCTGGTCGTCGGCCCAAGAAGCGTCAGAGTGTCCTGTGAGGACCACCGAACCCCGTCCTCCAAGCACGAGCCCCATGCCCGATGTGTTGCACAAGTAACGCAGTACCCTCTTCGCAGCATCAAAGTGCACCTTTCGGTGTCGACCAGGTGCCACGTAGCGAGCCAGGAGGCTGAGAGGGTACGCGAGGTCTGGTCGTGTGCACGTCATCAGGTACATGAGGCAACCCACAAGCTCTGGGTACGGACCACTCGGCTCTACGGACTCGTCCGAAGGTGGAGCTGAGAGCGAGTGGCCGGTAGACAGAGGAGTGGGCTGTGGCGAGGACCAAGTGAAGCGGAAGCGCTGAAGGACCTGCTGCACCATGTGTGACTGAGTGAGGGTGATGGTGCGCCGTGGCCTGTCCCGGGTGATCTGCAAGCAAAGATAGCTCCGCAGCTCACCCAGGTCAGTGCAGGTGTGTCTCTCCTGCAGCTCCGCCTTCACTAGGGCCAGTGCTTCAGTGTCAGCAGTAGCAAAAACCAAGTCGTCGACGTACATGAGGATGTAGAATGGCGGCAGAGTAGTGTCGGTGCGGAGAAACAGCGACGGGTCAGCAGTCGAAGGAGCAAACCCAAGAGCCGCAAGTGTCGTCCTCAGTGTGTCGTGCCACTCACTGGGCGCCTGACGCAGGCCGTACACTGGTCGCAGTAGGCTCCACTGGGTACCCTCAGGAAACGACCTAGTGAAGCTCTGTGGACTGCGCAACCAGATGGCCTCGTGAAGGCTACCCTGCAAGAAAGCTGTCGAGAAGTCGAGGGAGTGCAGCTCGTAGTCAAGCTGAGCTGCAACGTATAGCAACACCCGAAGAGTGGTCATCTTCGGGGTGGGGGAGAAGGTCTGAAAGAAGTCGACCCCCTCACGCTAACTGAAGCCTCGAGAAACGTAACGTGCCTTGAAGGCAGGCGGAGAACCCGGCGGCCGGAGGTCGGGGTGGGGATGTCAAGTGCATCCGGATCTCCCTCAGGGGCAAGCAGCATGGTCGCGTGATGGGGTGAAGCGGCAGCAAGGCACTCCAGCTCCTCCTGTCTGTCCTTAAGAACGTCACAGCCAAGGGCAGTACAGCCAAGAGCAGTCTCACCCCCGACGGACGGAGGACAGGCAGGGACAGGGTCAGAGACAAGACTCGCAAGGTAGTCGAGGCGGTACACAGCAGCAAAGTCAACGAGCTCAGCTACTAGGGCAGACGCAGCAAGAGACGAGAACGTAGGGTTCGTCACAACCGTAGCAAGAAGGCGAGCAACAGTCGGACTGGACGCACGAGCAAGGTCAGACGGAGGGTCAGCAACGTCAGACAGAGAGGACGCATGAGGTAACGGTAGTACAACACGCTGAGGAACAAAGGAAGGACGGAGCGTCATATCATGAGTGCCGGGGACAGCCGGAGCACGCGGACGACGAACACAAGGAACACGAGCACGGACAGCAGCTCTAGGCTTAGGCTCAAGGTCAAAGCTAGACTCAGGCTCTCGACGCTCAGGGGTGGAAGCACGAGTCTCAGGCTCTCGACGCTCAGTCAGGGACTCTGACACCGCAGTGTAAGGAGCAGGAGCAGGCAGTGGGGAGTGTGGTAGCAGCGGTGGCTGTGACTGGTCCACTGGCGGACACAGCAACGGAGGAGTAGTTCCTGCCACAGGGAAGCCAGTAGCACTTGGCGGAAGACTGAGAAGGTGGCGAAGAGCACCAGTAGCTCCCGTACCTCCAGCACGAGCAGCTCCTCCAGTACCCCCAGCAACACCTCCAGCACCAGTAGCAACAGCACCTCCAGCACCACGAGCTCCGACAGCGCCAGCACCTCGAGCACCAGTAGTACCTCCAGCACCTCCAGTGCCTCCAGCTCCAGCTCCAGCGCCTCCAGCACCAGTAGTACCTCCAGTACCTCCCGTGCCAGCAGCTCCAGTAGCACCTCCAGCACCTCCAGCACCAGCAACACCACCTGCTCCGGCAGCTCCAGCACCTCCAGTACGAGCACCTCCGGGACCAGTAGCTCCAGCACCTCCAGTACATCCAGCACCAGCACCTCCAGGGTCAGCACCTCCAGCACCTCCAGCACCAGCAGCAGCTCCAGTACCCCCAGCACCAGCAGCACCTCCAGCACCAGCAGTACCTCTAGTACCTCCAGTAGTACCTCCAGCACCTCCAGCACCAGCAGCACCTCCTGGACTAGAAGCTCCAGCACCAGCCGGACCGTACCCTCCACCA